TATTATCACCGTGATTTTCATCTATAATTGATAAATGTACACGCACGGAAAGTTTTCTCTTACTAGAGTAGCTTAGTCCATATTTATGCCCACTCAGATACCATTGTTCTCATAAAACCATACACCAGAACTGATGTTGTAAATCTGATCCAAAACTTGTACACCACGTATCTGTTATAAAAGCTGATGACTTTAAGGGCCTCAATGGGATGGTCAGAGGTCCAGAGCTGCAAATGGATTGGTACTCACTGTCACCCCACCTCCTGCATCAGACAACTGAAAAACAGATGATAGGCAAAACAAGTTCTAGATGATCCTGGAGAATTTCAGAGGCATGTGAGGTGTGCTGACCAAGGCAAAAATTGAGCCTTCATGTGAGACGGAGGTCCAAGTTTCGGGACACGAAAATAAAAATCTCTTGTCTTCAGGCATCTGCAGTTCATTCCTTTCGTGTAAAGGACTGCCCAAAACCTCCTTGGAGAGTTTTCAATTCTGATATAAATAATGTGTCAACTCACAGTAACCAGGAAACAAACTTTCCTGCAACAGGGTTAGTGCTAATTAAGAGAAATGCTCACTCTAGAATCAAGATGGCAACTCAGAATGGGTAAGACGCATATACTCATGAATAAATGGAATACTCATTCTTTTATCCAGGCTAATGGAAAGCGGGGGTAACACAGAAAAAGCAAAACCACAGATAATCCTGGACACATAAAGAAGGCATTTAACAGAAATGAGTGAGAGGGCAATGTTGAAACAGGCAGTAGTGATATTCTGTCACTATCGTGGTGCAAGCAGATTCCCATACCATGGATAAAACACTGCTTCCAGAACTGAGCTGACTTAAGAACAATCAGCACTTCCACAAAAAGCGGTCACATAACCCATTATCAAAAGCTAGTTGTAGCTACAATCCCAGCTTCCAATCCCACTGCAGCCACTCTGTTCATAGGTCCCACTAGTCCCCTCTCATCCTCTTCATCCTTTATTAATTACCACGACCCGTGCCATCCACTAATCATCATTTCATTTGTTTATCTCCACCATTCTCTTCTCCCTCCTGCAACTCCTCTAATTCTTATTTTCTCGAAGCCTTGTTCTATCTCAACAAGCAAACTCACAGAGTTTATAGTTATTGGAAGAAAGAATCTGGTGGAGCTCCAAGGGGAGCCCTGAGAAGAAATGGTAAGCGATTAGGCACTATATCTGGCTCCTGGAGCTTGCTGCACCATGGATTTACTGACAGAAGCAGATGGGCAGAGATACAATACACAGAGTAAAGGCACACACAAAAAGGTACACATGAAACCCTCCATACGTTTTGGGGGGAAAAAAAAAAAAGAAAAGAAAAAAATCAAATGAAGAGTCATCCTTTCCCTCCTTGGGCAGCTGTTTGAGTATTTTTATTGTATGCTTTAACACCAGTGCCTTTAAGGGGCTCTATAGGGGAGCCCCCTATCTTCTTCATTTGGTAGCCAGTTACAAAGCACTGGGGCCATTTAAGAAATGCCTTCAATAACGGGTCTCCTACAGCATGAGGCAGGTTAGAGGGACTCCCCAGGCCCCCCACTGGCGTGTTCTTTCTCAGGCTGGTGAAGCCGACATGGGCAGACAAGCTGTCCCTGCACCCCCGCTTCTCCGCTCCCTGCCTGCCATTGCCCTGCTCTCCCCTCTTCCTTGGGCTCCCTCCCTTGGATTCCTGGGTCAAGCAAGAGAAAAGGGTTGAGACAGGCTAAGTAAAAGGGGTAAGATGCCTCAGCTGCTGTTTTGGACAGGGATGCTGAACTTTTAGATCAGTACTAGAGACAGGGAGCTACCGCCTTTTAAAAATGAAATAAGCAGAACACTTCAGAAGCCTGTGCTTGCAGCTGAAGAGTCTGCAACAAACTTTGCAAAGCAACGCAGTATCAAACCAGTATTTCTCACACAACTACTCATATCCAGGGCATCTTTCATGCAATTACTCAGCAATGCACTGACATCTTAACATAGCGCAAGTGGGGAGGCCCCAAGACTTGAAACCATAAACTGGCCAGGTGCAAAACCCGTGTGCTCCGAGAGGATCTGTTACACCAATTACCCACTTGGTGGTTTGAGACAGTCTTGTAGGAATTGTGCTTGGCACAATACCCACAGCAAATTATTATTGCATATGGTATATATTTACAAAAATTCTACATATGAACGAGCTATAAATTTGTATTCACCCATTTCCAGAACTTTCTATGTCAAAGCTCTCGGAGGAAGGGTAGCTATAATTCACTCCTGCTTAGAGGAAGAAAACAGGAATTTTGGCTATTGTACCTGAGCACTAGGCTGCAGCTGAGCCTTTAGGTAGCTGCAAAAATACATGGTGTAACATACCCAGGCATGTGCATTTCCTAGACCCGCTTTCACAAACTTTGGTTTGTGCTATGTTTCGTTGCTGGCAGCAGGACTGGTGTACCTACGTAGCAAGCACAAGTGGCTGTAACATCTGTAACTCAGAAATGCCACATGCAGATGTACTTTTACAGTTTACAACTCTGCTGAAATGCCTTCTCATAATTTGAAAAGCACTTACACACTGTTTCCATCGCATAACTAAACTATTTCATAATAAGATAAGAATCTCTGCTGCAGCATATGAAAAATATTTGCTTGGAATATTCCAGCATAACTGCAGCTGAATTGCCCATTGCATTATGTATATCCCAATTACAGTACACTAAGGTGACAGCAATTCAGATTAAGACACTTTTAAAACTTGAGAATCCAGGATACTTGCTATTAGGGCACATTCATTTTTAAAATATGGAGTACCATAAAAAAAAACCCACATACATAGTTTAAAGGCTAACATCATC